TACCAAATATATTAAAAATAAATAAATAAAGTACAGCATAGCCAGCATGGTGGTGCTTGCCTGTAATCGTAGCATGCAGAAGGCTGAGGCAGGAGGCTCGCTGGGAGTCTGAGGCCAGCCTGGGCTCTAGGGCGATTTTTCATGATTTGAGAACAACAGCACAAGGTCACTGACCGCTTGACCTTCCCTAACCCTAGGCTAAGGAGCACCGGCCTCTCCTCCAGCCGGCGAGATGCCCCTCTTTGGGAATATCTTCAGTCCAAAGAAGACACCTCCTCGGAAGTCGGCCTCCCTGTCCAACCTGCAGACCGTGAGTGGGGCGAGCAGCCTGGTGCAGCGGGACTCGGTGGCAAACGCAGCATGCGCCTTCTGATGTGCTGTCCTCGGAGAGCATCCTCTTAGCTTGCTGACTGCTGTTGCGGAAGGACAGTCCCTCACTCCTGTTGGAAACTGTTGTCAGGGTCGATTTAAGAACCAAATGAGATGGGAGGCCGAGGCAGGAGGATCACTATGAGGTTGAGGCCAGCCTGTGGTACATAATGACTTGAAGCACAGCCTGAACTACGTAGCAAGTCCCTGTCCCCAAACAAGACATTCTATGACAGGGCTGGAGACATAGCTCAGTGGTAGAGCACTTGCCTGGCAGTGTGAGGCTCTGGGTCTCCCCCATTGCTGCATTCACACACATGATAATTGAAAAGTTATATAACACAAAGTCACAGCGCATGGGAATCAGTTTCCGTTCCCAGCTATGAGGTGTCTCTCCCTCTGCAGCACACAGATGCACACTGCCCCTGCATACCAGAGGTCGCAAGCCTGTGGCACGTATACCACAGCGGGCTGTTTGTATCACTGAAAACCCTAAAAGGTTCTCCATCATTGCCATGTACTGTCACTCTCCTTTTCTGCTGAAATCTTTTGTTTTGTTTTGTTTTGTTTTGTTTTTGAGACTGTGTCTTGCTGTGTAGTTCAGGCTAGCCTTGAATTCACTATGTAGCCCAGGTTGGCTTGGAGCTTATGGAGATTTTCCTGCTTAAGCCTCCCAAGTACTGGTATTACAGGTGTGCACCACCATGCTCAGCATCTGCTATAATCTTTTGAGCTTCTGGGACCACCTCTAGGGTCTTCAACCCCCATAATCCTGTGCACCACCCCATACACTAGCCCTGGCTCTTAGACACCATGGGGACACATCCTGATGGCTTGGACCTTTTCGTGCGGGGCTGGCTGTGCAGACTGGCTGGACCTTCACAGGATGTTAGGGCCTAGGTTTAACCCCAGCTTCGGGGGTTTGAGTCCACTGTCCCCAGATAAAATCACGGTGGAGGGTAGCACCTCTGTGGTCATGGCTGAGCAGTCTGGATCTGTCTCTGGTGCCCCAGGTGCTGGTCCCCCCTTTCCTCTGGTGTGTGTCAGAGATGAAGGAGCACTGTGGGCTCTTGGCCCGCCCCTGGCCTGACACAGTGTGCTTCTACGACTGAGGTTGCCGCTGTAAGTAGGGTCAGCACCCCTGTTAGTTCGCCAGGTCCTCCCCCTAGCTCCTCTTCCTGCTTTTGTTTTGTATGCCTGTCCCCCCCCCCCAGTAATGGAATTGGACCCAGGGCCTGTGCACTGAACTATAACCCCAGCTCCCCCTTTTGTGTGTGTGTGTGTGTGTGTGTGTGTGTGTGTGTGTGTGTGAAACAGGGTCTTGCTGTGCAGTTCAGGCTGGCCTTGAGCTTACTTTGTTGCCCAGGCTGCTCTCAAACTCCCAGCATTCTCCTGCCTCCGCCTCCTGAGTGCTGTGATTACAGGCGTGCACCACCGTGCTCGGCTTCCCCAGCCCTTTTTTTTTTATTTTTTGATTTTGAGACACAGTCTCTCTAAATCAGCCAGGATGGGCTCAACTTGCAGCTGTCCTCCCTGAGCCTCCCAGAGCCTAGAATTGCAGGCGTGCACCACCTTGCCTGGCCTTGACACCCTTGTCTATAGCACCTCCTCTCAACATGGTTTTCCCTGCCTCTGCCTCTGCCTCTGCCTCTGCCTGCGGTCTTTCCTATTCATTCTTCCAGAGCTCATAACTGGTCACTTTTTTTTTATATTTTATGTATTTGGTACAGGGTCTCACTACACAGCTCGAGTTGGACTAATAGTAACTGTCCTGTTTTAGCCTCCCCAGGGCTGGGATTACAGGCATGCGCCACCACGCCCAGTCTTGGTACTGGGGATCGAACCCAGGCCCTTGCACTTGCCTGGGCAGGCACTTAGACCACTGAGGTATCTCCATGGTCCTGATAATTGATAATCTTTTATATGCTGGCCACTCTTCCAGGCACTGGGCATAAGTGGATTAAAAAGAAGAAAAAAGTGAGCTCAAGGCTAGTCAGAACTGCATAGCAAGACCCTATCTCAAAAAAGACCAAAAGAAGAAGAAGAAGAAGGAGGAGGAGGAAGAGGAGGAGGGGGAGGGAGAGGGGAGGGGAGGGGGAGGAGGGAGAGGAGGAGGAGGAAGAGGAGGCGGCGGCGGCGGCGGCGAAGGAGAAGGAGAAGGAGAAGGAGAAAAGGAGAAGGAGAAGAAAAAGAAGAAAAACCAAACCCCTGCCTTCATGGCACAAATATTTAATTAGAAAGGGTGCAGAAAATAAGTAAGTGTATATCAGGTGACGATGGTGCTTTGTAATGAGGCAGGGGCTGGGGAGGGCATGGTGACAGTGGAGTGGAGATGGAGTTGTTACTTGATTAAGTAGGATCATCAAGGAAGCCCAAGAAAGAAATGAAGCACTTGAAGGGTCCCTGCCGTGTTTATTTTTATTTTTTTTTCCATGTTCACAGGCTATTTTAAACAATATTGAGACTTGTAGACCTTCGGTACACTTTGTGTCTCTCCACAGTTTACAATTGTACATCACAATCTGAGCAATGAGAGAGTCTGTTGCAGTGAATAACAAGTGATGGGAGAAACTTCAGGAATATTTTCTGGCTATGGAAGTTCAGATGAGATTTAGTGAACACATCGCATGAGTCAAGTTGTGCCGTGAGCCTTCCACGGTGCATCACAAACTTGGCTTCAGTGAGCAGAACCATGAAGCCAGTACCTGGAACATCCGAGGGGTGTTTGCAGAGGAAAAGTTCAGACTTGATCGTGTGACTTGCAGAATCATACTTTGACATGAATTCTTTGATGATGACTTTTTTGCTTGTTCTTGGTCACCTTGGCCCATTTAGCAGTGGTTTTAGCTAGCAAGTCAGTCCTCACGTTGTCAATGTTTGACACCAGAATGGAGCCCTACTCGGGAGCGGTATCAGATGCGTATGCGTACTCCTGGGGACACATGCTCCTGCGCATCCAGGTCCTCATTCGGTCCTCAGACCCAGTCTGGCAGGATTACTGATTCACAGAGGGCTGGCAGTTACCTGGCAATCCTAATTCTAAAGTGATCAGAAGAGGAGTGAAGATTAGGAGCAGCAGGTTTGAAAGTCCCTGGGCAGTCGAGGTTCTTCCAGGAACATTAGCATCAAAAGGCATTTATACCATCAGCTGCAGAAAGGATCGCGTCTCCTTTTTCATTCTCTTCCTCTGGAGCCTCTGTCGTTGCTGCTGCCACTGCTGCCGGGACTCGTGCCGGAGTCCATGCTGGGCTCATCCTCCAGCTTCTGGCCACTCAGGGTGTAGGGTGCAGGCAGCTCCCAAGGAGCGCTTCACATGCCAGCGCCGCCAGGGACCCAGCGTGGTGGAAAGCGGGGTGGGGCAGGGCCTCTTTTGTTTTTGTTTTTGCAACACTGGGAATCGATCCCTGGTCCTGGCTGGTCCTGGCATGCCAGGCAAGCACTATCTTCACTGAGCTACGCTCCTAGCCTGGCTGCTTCTGCTGACCTGCTGGGGTCTCCTGTGCAGGGGTGAAAGCTTCCCCAAGGCAGGGTTGGTCAGCACCTAGTGCTGGCTCAGGCTGGTGCTCAGTGAGTTGTATAAATGAATCTGGAACTTGGGCTGCCTCACGTTAAAGAAAACTATTACTACTATGAACTGGGTGTTGGAAGTATTTGTGGTTACTACTTTTCCATGTAGCAAATACTGTACCTTACCTTTTTTTGTTTGTTTGTTTTTTGTTTTTTTTCCATATGAGTCAGAGTCTCACTATGCAGCTCAGACTGGTCTTGAGCTCACTTTTTAGCCCAGGCTGGCTCAAACTTGAAACGATCCTCCTGCCTCAGCCTCCTGAGTGCTGGGATTACAAGTATGCAGCATTACTCCTGGCTGTACCATGCATTTTAAAAGGAGTTTACAATTCCAGATGTGGTGGTAAATGCTTGTAATTGCAGAACACGGGGAGGATGAGGCAAGAGGATTGCAAGTTTGAGGCTATCCTGGGGAACTCTGCGAGCCCATCTCAAAAATAAAACTAAAAAAGGGAGGGGAGTGCTGGGGAGATAGCTTGACAGTCTAAACATCTGCCTGGCAAGCACAAGGACCTGGGTTCAGTCCCTAATACTGCATGCAGGGCCAGCCTCATGCCATGCCGGCCTCAAAACTGGGTGTGGTAGAGGATGCCTTTAATCCCAGTGCAAAGGAGGCTGAAAGAGGAGGATCACTATAAGTTAAGCTGTGTAGCAAGACCCTGTACCAAATGAATGATTAAGAAAAGGAAATGGGGCTGGGGTGTAGCCCAGTGGCATATGTGAGGCTCTGGGTTCAATCCCAGGCAACACACACACACGCACACACATGCACATGCACACGCACACGCACATGCAGAATGCTAAGAAATAGAAACCAGAAATGGATTGTTGGGGTCTAAAAGGAGCAGAGGCAGGGCTGGCATGAGGGTTCCTATTCAGTAGCTCTTGAAGTGGTCATGCAGTGTCTCTCCCACAGCTGGATCGCTCAATCCGGGACGTGGAGCTGGGGCTCAACTATGGAACGCCCACGATGAACTTGGCGGGGCAGAGCCTGAAGTTTGAAAAGGGCCAGTGGATAGCAGGTGGGCCGTGTATCCTGCCATCTTGCCAGATGAGGCTGCAGAAGGAAATCCCTGTGGTCACCACAGCCCTCTCCTTCCCACAGAGGCTGGCATCGGTGGGGGCACGGAGCAGAGAGAGACGCAGCGCCTCCGCAGGCGGAACCAGCAGCTGGAGGAAGAGAACAACCTCTTGAGGCTGAAAGTGGACATCCTGCTAGACATGGTGAGGAAGGGGATGGGAGCGGGTGCCTGTTTGTCCAGAGACATTGCTATGTATCAAAGACAAAAACAAGCCTGGGTGTGGGGTGGTGCATGCCTGTAATCCCAGCCTTTGGGAGGCTGAGGCAGGGGGGTTGCCACAAGTTCAAGACCAATGTGGACTATACAGTAAGACCCTGTTTACAAAGAAAAAAAGACAACAAAGATTCAGTTCCACCTTGGAGGTCTGCACAGGACCTGTAGTTAGAGCGCCTTTTGATAGGGACAACAGTTCAAGACTGTACAGGATCTGTGTTAGTTTTGCCAATGTCAGGAGGCGTCATGGAAGAAAGGACGTTTGAGCTGAATGCTGCAGGATGGTGGCAGGATAGAGGAGGAGCAAGGTGTGGTCTGCTTCTGCTCGGAGGTGTCCATGCCTGGCAGGCATCAGACCTGCAGGGGGCACTTGTTACATTAGGTGACCTGTGAGGTGGGGACGGGGCTGGAACAGGTGTCCTAAAGCTCGGTGTCACTGCTCAGTGACAGTTGCCTTCAGCAAGAAAATGGGCATCACAGTACCACTGTTGGCCTCCTAGAGTGAGTTAAGTAAGCCCAGCATTTGGAGCAGCAGGCCCAGGCTTTCTTTCCTAGTGAACCAAGCTCTGTGTAGCATTGATGTCTCTCCATTCCCGTCCTCATGTCGTCTTCTTCCTCCATCTTTGACATCCAGTGAAAGATCCTGATAAGCCAAGTCACATTCTTTTTAAAGCATTACTCCCAGAGCCGGGGAGGTGGCTCAATAGAATAAGCGCTTGCCTGGCAAGTGCAAGGGCCTGAGTTCAATCCCAGGTTCTGCCAAAAAAACAAATAAATGAATAATAAAGCACTACTCCCCCACCCCAGCAATTACAATTCTGTGAGCTGAGCCCGGGAGCAATTTACTCGCTTAGCCGTAGAATCACCACTGTTGTGTCCCCTCTGCGGCCTGCTGGCCTCATGCAGGGCCTGCCACGAATCGCTGCTCATCACATGTGGGCAGAGTGCATAGTGAATGCTCTCTGAGTACTCACCTGTGCCCCTGGGGCCTCAAATGGCTACCCTGTCAGGCCCCACTAGATTTACCATCTCAGAATCCAGCAGGCCTTCCCAGGGTGGCCTCACAGACCCCAGTAGAGTGCGGAAGTGTCTTTCCTATAACACTGGCTGCTCCCTTCCAGCTCTCCGAGACCACTGCCGAATGCCACTTAATGGAGAAGGAACTAGAGGAACTGAAGAGCGTTGGCCGGAGAAGGAAATAAGCCCCCGAGACACCGGTTAGGAGCAGAGAGACTCCCATCATCAGGGGTGTAGGGTGAGGCTGAGCAGTTTGGTTTTTAGCAAAACTAGTGGATTTGGTCCCAGAACAAGCAACAGCAGGCTCCAGCAGGTGGCATAGGACAGAGGAAGACAGGGTAGGGTGGTGGCTGGGAAGCCAGCCTGCAAGCACATCCCAAGGAGCCAATGGGGGTGGTAACCTTTGGGTGCAACGGCCCATGTCCCTGCCACCCTGAGGGACAGATGTTGTTGGAAGCCACAGCTGGACTCCATCACCTCCCCCGTGCAGGGCTTGAGGGCTGCCACTAGCTCCATCAAGCCTGTATTTAGGGGTCTGGAATAAGTGACCGACTCTTGATTCTCTGCTGCCAGCCACCCCCGCTAGGCCATGTGTCCCTGGCCTGTGAAGAATGCTTGTCCCCAAGTCCACAGCTGCTCTGGCTGCAGCTTCCCAGCAACAAGCACCAACCTTCCACAGTGACACTATTTTTGTGCTACTTTCCTGTTTATACCCTTTCCTTTTTATTAAATGATACTGAACGACCCCTCTGTGCCCAAAATGACTGTAGAAAGCATGGGTTCCTGCAGAAGTAACAGGAAAAGACCAAACTCTTTGGGTTTGGGAAATGGCAGTCTTGCAGGGGATTGGGCAGCTTCCCTGTCCCCCTAGGAGGTGACCCGGAAGTGAAGCTATCGCCAGTACCCAGAGTCTCTTGCCCTGCTGTTTCAGGAGTGGGAGTGGCCTGGCCTGGCAAAGCCCAGTGGCTGGCACAGGAATTCCTGTCTGAGTCAGTGGGATTCAGGTCTCTGCGACAAGGGGAAGCCGGTGGTCATGTGGATGCAGGCACACAGCCCAGGGGTTTAAAGTGAGAACTACAGGCTTCTGTAGCCACCCTGCGCACATGACACTGAAGTCCTTGCTCATAGCATCTCTTTGCCCCCAGTGGAGGCCTGTGCAGCAAGACTGAGCATGACAGGCAGCAGATGAGTCAGCCGGTGCGGGGCCAGGTCAGAAGCTGTCATGGGACCACACAGTGGGGTGCTGGAGCCTGCTGGCTCCCAGCCTGCAGGACAGACGGGCTTACTAGGTCACTGAATTGCCCCGGCTGGGCTTGAACTTGTGATTCTCCTGCTTCAGCCTCCCCGGGTGCTGGGATTGTACAGGCATGTGCCACTGCAGCTGGTTTAAATGTGCTTTGGTGGGGGAGACTTGGAGCTTTTTTAAAGATTCTCAAAGGGACCTGCCTGACCCCTACTCCATTGAAGAATTACTACATCCTTGCTGGGTGTGACAGTACATGCCTGTAATCCTACAGCTCTGGAAGACTGAGACAGGAGAATGTCAAATGGGAGCCCAATGTGGACAACTTAGTGAGATTTGTCTCAAAAGAAAAAATAAAAAAGGACTGAGGGCCAGCAAGGTAGCTCAGCAGATGAAGCCCGTGCTTTGGCAAGCGCAGGGACCAGGGTTCAATCCCCGGTCCCTGCATGCCATGCTTGTCCTGCCCCCTGGGTCACACTGGGCCAGTGTCCAAGGCCAGGCATGATGGCACACACCTATAATCCTAGCGCTGGGGAGGCTGAAAACTGGAGGATCACTACAAGTCTGATCTGTGTAGTGAGACCCTGTACCAAATACATAAATGAAAAAAAAAAAAGAACCGAGGGTGTAGCTTGGTGTAGAGGCCAGCCCTGGGTTTGGACCCCCCAGGACCACTACAAAACAAACCCAAAGCCCTGCTACATCCTGATTCGGACAAAACAGAAAAAAGAAAGGTGGAAGCTGTGAGGTTGAGTGATGAGGGACAGAGGAGCAGAAGCCCAGGGTCCCAGAGTCCCCTACCCCTGGGTTCAGGGTCACTAGGCGCATGGTGTCACCCTTCTTTGTCCTTTGTTCACTGACATTGTAGGAGTGCCCTTCTGGTTCTCTTCTTGGCCCAAGAAGTCTATACTTATAATCTCAAAAATATGTTATGGGAATCCCACCAAGTTAATTCTACTCTACCACTCACAGTGCAACCCACGGCGAAAACAAGGACACTAAGACATATATATAATTATTGGGGAGCCAAGAGGCCCTAACTCTAGCCAAGAAGATGGCTTTCAGGAACAAAGAGACTGACCCAGGACCGCACCTGGGGTTTTATTCAGCTGAGAAGGAGGCGTGGCTTGAGGAAGAGAATTGTAGGAAGTAGGTGATTGTGTGAGCTGGGCTAGGTGGGTGGTCTCCATTTACCTCTGTGGTATGCAGAGAGAGTAATTTGTATTATGCTATTGAGATAGTATCTAATGTTTTGAGGTTCTGGTGCTTCAGTTCGGATGTGTCATCTTTCCAGCCCCAGGAAGTCATAGCCTCTATCTCGAGGCTTGATCCCAGCCAACAGCGTGGAGCACTGGCTCTTCATCCTGTCTCGACCTGGCTCTTATTGGAGAGCAGTGGTGTGGGTTATCCGGAAACACGCATGCCATCTTCAGAAATTACCACCAGCACCTCGGCTAGACCATTATACGTTGCTTAAGGCCAGTTGAAAGGATAAAGAGAAGTCCTAGCCAGCTCTGTACATATTAATACAAGGAAATAGGGTCAGGCTCAGCCAAAATGAAGATAATCGCTCTTCTTTCCAGGAGAGCTGCTCAGGTGGTCCTCCACAGACTGAACCTCCGACCTGGCATCAGGCGCACTGCACTGGTCCTTGAAACGCCCAGGATGCCACACACTACTGGTTTTCTTCCTGGTCCCTAGTCTTTCCTCACCCAGTTCCTCAGGCCCTATGGCTTCCTGCTGCTGTCCCTTCTCCAGGTTCTGTCATCCATTCCTGGAGTTTGGAGTACTTTACATTGTATGATTCCCAGGGTTTCTTAAAATTCCCTGCAAGGGGCTGGTGAGATGGCTCAGTGGGCTGGTG